GGGGGGGGGGAGTAGGGCTGGCCCAGGGTTTGGAGCGAGACGACAGCGGGGGCCACGGAATGAGGCAGGAAACCGGAAAGGTCTCACAAAGGGGCGAGCGCGTATCTGGGAGTGACACAATTGGGAGGGGGGGGGGGCAAAACCGTCTGGCCACCGGGGGCAGAAAGCAGAGAACAGGGTGGGGCGGGACGGGTCACTTTGATCTGTCTTTTTTTTTTTAATAGGATAAATGGAATTAGACGAGCAGGAAGGGACAGTGGCAGTGATGGGGAAGGTTGTGGATCCTGAATCCTCTTCTCAGGGGTGTCCGTCTCCTGGAGCAAAGACTGTGGCAGCGGAGGGAAAAATTCAGCCGAGGAATTTACAAATGAAAGCCGGGAGTTTTTTTTTAATGCGATTAAATTGTTCCATTTCACTGCTTCTCCTTCAGACAGCGCTGCTTTTTAAGGACCTCAAGCTGCAGAATGCTTTCTTCCCTAAGGGTACGTGGGGGCTCACTGTGGAGGAAATTGGGGGGTGTGTGGGGGGGGGGGGGGGGTCTGTCAATGACGGTTCTGAGAACAGAAGCTTGCAGGTGCGCTGGAGTGGCCAGTCACCGCTGTTCCCTTCATCGTCGATCACTGTGCTTTTTCATACACGACAGCCGACAACAAAAAATAAAAGGCCCTTAAGCAGTACACACTAGGTTTTTAAAATTAAAAAAGTAATAATAATTAACATTAAAATATATTTTTTGAAAAACTCAAGTTGACACAGGTGGTAGGTAACAGTTTTTACACAATATTCATGCGCACAAAAAAACAAACATCTGGAATCCAAAACTTGTCACAGTTTCTCATTATTTTAGTTGCAGATTATGCTGATAAGACGTCAAAATCCATTTCCCATCACACCCCGAGCTGTTTTTTTTTTTTTTTTTTTTAAATAATTAAAATTTTAAATGAGGGGTGTAATTTTGCTGTACCCGGAGGTGTTACCCTGCCCTTGTTCCCACTGAACCTGCAGTCACAGCGCAGATGATGGAGAGTTTGGGAGGGGGGTGCTGGGGATTGGGTTTGAGTGGCAGTAATGAGGATGCAGCAGCGCGCCGACTCGCACTGCGAAGGTGAGGGACGTGTCAGATGGTCAGACGGTCAGCCTGAGGGATGCTGGGTATGTTTGGGGGCTTAGATCTGTAGATGTTAAGGGAGCAGGACTCAGGGTCAGTGGGATGGGGCGGCAGTGTGTCACGGTCAGGTGAGGAACAGAGGGGAAGTCTTCCATTTTTAATCTGGAGAAACTAAAGATGATGTTATATATAACCAAGACTATGCATGGGTCAGGACTTGACTGAGGGCAGGTGGCTGAAAGCGTGAATGTCACTGTGGCTTCTGTGAAGGTCCGTGGAAAATACGCGTGACCGGAGTCAGTGGCTGCAGCCATGCCCCCGCCCCCCCCCC